TGCCTTCTTTAAAGCACTACTATTTCTAGCAGCAGGAGCTGTACTTCATGCAACTTACGATCAACAAGATCAACGACGACTTGGAGGTCTGATTGGTTTTCTACCTTTTACATATGTAGCAATTCTTATTGGTTCTCTGAGTCTGATGGCTGTACCTTGGATGACAGGGTTCTATTCTAAAGATCTCATTCTGGAAGTAGCTTATGGACAATATCAATTTTCAGGCCATGTCGCTTATTGGCTAGGTACAATTTCTGCATGTCTTACTGCATTCTACAGTCTACGTCTCATTTCTCTGACATTTATGACATATCCTAATGCAAGTAAATCGGTTTACCTGCATACACATGATGCTCCTGTTATTGTAATGATCCCTCTAGTAATTCTATCACTATTTGCAATTTTCTTTGGGTTTATCGCCAAAGATCTGTTTGTAGGAATGGGATCAGATTTCTCTTCATCTGTTCTATTTACTCATCCCTCACGTATTAGTCTAATTGAGGCAGAATTTGGTCTACCTCAAATTATTAAACTACTTCCTGCTATTGGTACTTTTGCGGGTGCAGGACTAGCACTGTACCTATACCATGTGCAACAAGTGTTTACAATTCAACTAACGGATTCGGTATTTGGACGATCTCTCTATAAATTCTTTAATGGTAAATATTATATTGATGTGGTTTATAACCATTATATTATGTATAAAGGACTAAATCTAGGTTACACTATTTCAAAAACACTTGATCGAGGTATTATTGAGCTCCTAGGTCCTCAAGGACTAAGTACTTCATTTACTTCAAGTAGCAAATCAATTGCTAAATATGATACAGGAAACCTGACAGATTATGCACTATACATGGGTGTTGCGCTTGTATCACTTACATGTCTCATTCTGACTCCTCTCCTACTAAACATCAATGTATATGGAGTGGAACTCCTTATTGTCCTATCTATTGGACTTGTTGTAGTGAATACTACAAAAGACTATACTTCGACACAACCACAAACTCTTGAAAATTCTCCTTAGCTCATAGTAGTCGTACTACTATTCGCTGCAATGTTCCTATTGAAATTGGCCACGTTGTGGACCGGTTCCTGGAAAAAAAACTTACAGATGAGGAAATGGATGCTATTTATATGGAAAAAGCACAAGAATATATTGAAAACTATTACAAAAATAAGCTAAACAATAAATTAATAATATCTCCCTCAGTCAGTTTAACCTACATTTGTTTGTTATAGCCAGATTAATATAAGTAATCAGAGGATTTAGTTGAGTGGTTTAACGCCGTTTTTACACGACGGAAAGAGAGGTTCAATTCCTCTAATCCTTA